TCTTGAGGATCAATCTTAGCTACATTGAAGATTTTGGGGAGTGTTTCGTGGCTGGAATTGCTGTTGCTTGTGCTTTTCGGGAGCATTTTATCTGCGCTTGGTCCGGTGAATGGCCTGAAAAATTCTTGCTTAAGACCAGAAAGTTGTCACACTTAGTAATTCTCTCGACATGCCGCGAGATAGTAACTTAGCGCTACTAATGCTTTTGTTTAGTTAGGAACTTACTAGAGGATCAAGGAATGGTCACGGGACAATGGAGCATTGTAGAAAATGTGCACTTGCTTACTGTGCAACTTTTTGAGTTTTTCTTAGCTTTCTTTTGATAGTAAGAGATTAGCCAGAATTGAGGTGTTAAAACGTGGTGGAACTCATGGGAGTTTTTTTATTTCTTGTCTCTACTTTCGATGAATTTGAACTGAAAATAAAAACTAGCTACCCCTCTGCATTTTCATGAGTTTGTTGAGTGTAGTTAGTTCGGTAGTCTTGCTTCTGTAACTGGTTCGACTAAAAATTGATTTTTCATGTTAGATGCGATTCATGAAGGAGGATACTTGTGATCAGCTTTTAGTTTCAACTTTCTTTAAGCTATTGAGTTGTCTAAGTGCATACTTTCTTTGAACTTTCTCAAATAGTTGATTCCATACCATTCGATGTCCTCATTTCTGGTGACGATCAAATAGTTCGGTAGTCTTGCTTCTCTAACTGGTTCGACTAAAAATTGATTTTTCATATTAGATGCGATTCGTGAAGGATACTTGTGATCAGCTTGTAGCTTCAACTTTCTTTAAGCTATTGAGTTGTCTAAGTGCATCCTTTCTTTAAACTTTCTCAAATAGTTGATTCCGTACCATTCAATGTCCTCATTTCTTGTGACGATCAATATTTATGCAAAAACGGCACGTTTTTTTTATGAGCTACTTATGTCTCACCAAAAACGGGTCTTTCATAATTGCCTGTTTTTGGCCTTGCAGATCGAGGAGAAAGAAGAATGCTTCAAGTGGAGAGAACCTGGATTCTTCTTCTGCAGGTACTATAAGTAATAATTTAATTCAGTCTTTTTAAGGTGCTAACTGTTTAAAGTTTTTCGTTGTAACTCATATTTTGTCATTTCACCCGTATTTCATTGCCTTCTGGCCAAATTTTGCCTGCATTAACTTGTCAACTGATAATTCAGGTCAAGGATCAAGTGATGGGAAAAAGGCTTTATATCACTGTAATTATTGCAACAAAGACATTACGGGGAGAATTCGTATCAAGTGTGCTATGTGCCCTGATTTTGACCTGTGTATCGAATGCTTCTCGGTTGGGGCTGAGATGGCGCCTCATAAAAGCAGCCACCCATACAGAGTCATGGTTAGTAATAGCATCGTTAAATTTGATCTTCTTTGGTCCATCTGCTAACATTAAACTTTACATTTTTTAGTATCTATCGACATTAGCCGGAAGAGAGACAGGATGATCTCTAATTCTCATGAGTGTTCATGTGTCAATTTTTGTTTCCAAACATAGGCATGTTTTTCTAGCATCAATGTCAAAAAATCTACTGCAATGTAATTTCTCGTCTGTCACATTTCTTGACATCTGGACATAGTGTGAAACTGATCAAGTCACTATCTAGAAACTAGGATCATCCTTCTTTGAACTACAGTACTTTTTAATGATGCTTCCAGAATGTCTGAAAACCGCTGTTATGTAATGGTGAGTTTGATTTTTTATTCATGTGAGGTAATTTTGTTATGGTCTCTTCTCATGTCAACAGGACAACTTGTCATTTCCTCTGATCTGCCCCGACTGGAATGCAGATGATGAGATATTGCTTCTTGAGGTTGTCTCTGCCTATTTCGATTCCTTGATTTTTTTTTTCTTTTTCCTTGTTTTGGTATGGGAAGTGGGTATTTATTTTGGAATGCTTTTCAGGGAATTGAAATGTATGGGTTAGGGAACTGGGCTGAAGTTGCTGAGCACGTTGGAACAAAGAGCAAAGAACAGTGCATTGATCACTACAATGAAGTGTATATGAACTCTCCAGTCTTTCCTCTTCCTGTAAGAGATCCTAATTGAAATGAATTCCGTTTCCTCGTTTCCTTTTTTGGCACTGACGTGGTTTGAGATCTTAACATTATTTCTTTGATAGGATATGTCTCATGTCGTTGGGAAAAATCGCAAGGAACTTCTTGCAATGGCTAAAGGACATGGCGAGGACAAGAAAGGTGCTTAATGATGTTTTGTTCTTTCCTTGTGAAATTTTGTAAAAGCTTGTGTGACAAAATTTAAAACAGCAATCTATCATGAACCCTGACTAATGACCTCGAAGATTGAAAAATGTTACTACTGAGGGATATGCCTGTACTAGTTACTATTGTATATACCGAAAAAAGAAAACCAAAGTTATTAGTGAGGAGCTCATGCTTTAATGATTTTGTTTGGATAGAACTCTTTATTGTTCTGTTTTATGTATTGGCATTCTTATCATTTGAGTTGAGCAAAAGTTATAAGTGACAAATACTCTTTTGTGATTCTGTTTGAATGGATCACTTTCTTCTCGTTCATTTCAAGTATTGTTCTTCATATTCAGTTGATATGCAACTGTTTGATCATGGTCATCAAATTTGAACTTCTTGGTTTGTGTTGATTGGGTGGGTTTTTTTACAAAGAAGGTATGCTTGTGATTACCGCAGGACCTTCTGTTGGTGATCTATCATTGAAGGAAGAATCTCCTTTTTCTCCTCCAAGAGCTAAGTATGCGCCCGTCTCGTTTATGCCTTCATTCTTAACTGTTATACCTTATACCTTCTTGGTTGGTGATGTGCAATTTTTACTCTCAGAGTCGAAGATCCACACAAAGGTGGTTCTTCTGGCCGTTTGCTCTCTGGTACAAATGCTGGTGAGTTAGTCAGATACTTAATTTTTTGTGAATCATTATGCATATAGTTCCTAACCCTTTGGGGGGGTTGTTATGTTCCCTCAATCTTGTCAATTCAGATATGGATACCGGGTCTTGCTCTAGTAGCAACAATGCAGCATCAGGAGCTGGTATCAAGGCATCCAACAAAACCCAGGCTAAGAACGGAGTTAGCAACATCAAAGTAGAAGGTATGATAAACATTCTTTTGTGGATAGCATAGTACAAATGCATCTGGTGTAAATTTTGTTGTTAACATCCCTTATATGTTCCTGCAGATGCCCAGTTTAATAGCAATTTTAATGGGATGACTCCAAGTACTTTGGGGGATGACGGTCCCTCTCTAATTGAGTCGAGTGGTTATAACCCCAAAAGACAGGAGTTTGATACAGAATATGATAACGATGCTGAGCAGCTACTGGCTGAGATGGAATTCAAGGACACAGACACGGAAGAAGAGCACGAGCTGAAGAAGCGGGTGCTTCGTATCTATTCAAAAAGGTGATGGTCATATCTATTTGCTGTTCTTAGGAGTCGCTAGATAACATTTCTGAAAACTGTGGATTAAGCTTCTCTATTAAGTCCAGGTTATTCCAGTCCCAATGAGTTATGGCGCATAATCCCTCGTATAATTTTTGCTGGCAGGCTGGACGAGAGAAAACGGCGAAAGGAGTTCATACTAGAGAGGAATTTACTGTACCAAAGTCCTTTTGAGAAGAGCTTGACGCCCGAAGAGAGGGCGCTATGTCGGCGTTACGATGTCTTCATGCGGTTTCATTCGAAGGAGGAGCATGAAGACTTGCTCCAGACCATTGTTGCAGAGCATAGAACTTTGAAAAGGATAAAAGAATTGCAGGTATTTTGTGGCATTATTCATTTGAAGATGTCTAAGTTTTGCAACATTAACAATGTCTCTCTCACATGTTTGAGGACATAACTTTGCAGGAGGCCCGTGCGGCTGGTTGCTGTACATCAGCTGAGGCAGATAGATACTTTGAAAACAAGAGGAGAAGAGAAGCTGAAGAGAGCTCTCGCCGAGGTAAAGATAGTTCTCAGCTTGGTGCTGGTGGCCAGGGACCCTCCTCCATGCATGCTTCCTCAGGATTGCCCAACGATCTCGACGTGATGGGATTTAACGGCTCGGAGTTACTTTCCGATAATGTAAGTCCTCCACCTGACTTTGTATCTTATTTCAGCGTACTATATGAGACTTCTTACTATTATAGTTAGCTGTTTTGCAATGGGCAAGATCTTTTTAAATTTTTCCACGTACTATTGCTTGCAGGAGAAACGGCTTTGCTCCGAGCTGAGGTTACCTGCACCAGTTTATCTCAAAATGCAGCAGGTCATGTCGATGGAAATCTTCAGTGGCAATGTCACCAAGAAGTCTGATGCCCATCACTTGTTCCAGATGGAACCGAGCAAAGTCGATAGAGTCTATGACATGCTCGTGAGGAAGGGACTCGCCCCCCCTTGATTCCGTCTCTCTTCTCGAATTTCCAGTTTTGGTATTACCCGTTGCTAACCTGGTTGTACACAATTCAATCTGGAGAAATAGATCAGTGTTGTATAGTCCTATTTATCTCTGGAATGAAATATCCTCTTTTTGTTGTCATAAGCCAAATCCAACACCCCAGAAACTCACATGAGAGACCAAACTCTCTTCCTCCTTGTGTTATGGCCCCAGCAAATATTGTGAGGCTCTTGAACTCATGGGGCAAAGTCATTTCAGATATTATCTTCAAGGACCATTGATTTGCGAGAATTAAGGAATGCGAGCATTCGGTTTCTGCGCATGTATTTGCTCATCTATGATAGTGGGAATCCACTCATTGACTTAATATTTGATGTACATACAGGGGAAGAACAGGTCAAAATCAACAAAAGATGGTGCACCTGAATAATAGGTCGAAAAAGTTTTTACTGAAGAGAATTGTAGAACAGAATTAGTACAACAGAGATGCCGATTATGACGGGAAATGCCGTAACTAAGTAGAGCGCTCCGTAGCCCTGCAAGAGAGAGCATTCTTGGTCACTGCTCAACCCTAAGAATGAGCTAGAGCAGACAAAGAAACTTAGATAATTTTGACAATCGTACTGAACTAAGTAATATCTTATTGCCAACACAATCATAGTAAGGTTCGGAATACTACCATTTCAGAGTGAATCCATTCACTCAGAAGTTGAACAATAATAAGAAACCTCTTAACGAGTATGTGATTAATGAAGTTTATATTGCTACCGCCGTGGTAAATCAATTCTCATGCTCCAGAGGCAGTAACAAAACTTCCCATTAAAACACTAGTTTCACAGCATATAACCACCAAAGACCATCAACACCATCTACTCCAGCCAAAAGAATGTAGAGGTGTTCTTGGGTCGTCTTAGTTCAGTTTAAAGAATCCACTTGCTCTGCTTTGTAGTTGGGCTTTCTCTTTGCCTATTTTGACAAATAGCAATCCGATATTAAGATGTGATTACCATATATTATAGGTACAATGTCATCTCTTTACAGAGGCTACACCTGGAGATGAGGTTAGGATGACATACCTAAAACAGAAGGTATTCAAAAAATTTGCAAGAACAAAGAATCTCAAACAAACCACCATTTAAAGGTATCAAGAATGCCAACTTGTGTCAGCATTTACTTTCTTTGTTTTTAAGTTCTGTTTTGAATAGGAAAACATTGATGTGATTATATATTAAGAGAGCAATAATTTCTCAGCTCAAGAATGACAGTGAATATAATGTACGATCTTCGAGAAAGACGCTCTAAATCACAAGTATCATTAGACACTGATTCAGTTCACAATCATACCAAAACATCACACCTATCTTCTTCGGAAAGTCGCTATATCATCATAATAATGGAGATGGAGCACTAAAAGATACTGTAAGATTGGAGCCACCATGATTATCTGTTTTGTCCTCCAAATTGTTCTAACTGCATTACCGCATAAGTCATTCTTCTCTTTACCTCTTCGTTACTTGTTTTACTAAACCATGAAATTTGAGAGTTCATTTGTATCTAAGGGAAGAACAAGTCACTGAAGGAATTTTATGCGACTTATTTTTTTTATCCTTCCCTCATTAATGTGATGATCAAGAGACAGCTTGGAGAGAGAGATCTGGAGACGTACCACAGCTGGAGGCACTTCTGTCTCATCACTGTCATCAGCCTCTTCAATTTCAGCGGCTGAATCCCAGTCAACATTCAGTCTCTTAGCAGCCACTTCAGGACTGATACCAGTGTCCGTGGCTTTTGCATATAGTGATTTGCCTGGCTTCTTTTTGGGGGCCGCCTCCTATTACACGAGGCACAACATGCATGGATAAAATTTGCGTGGAAAAGGACTTGTCACGTATTAGAGCAAGCTAAGACTCATTGAAGGAAATGAATCATTATTGACATAACTCAGTAGACAGAATGCGCCATCTTAAAGTTAAGCTCTGTCAGCTAGCTCAGATATACTTCACCATTAGCAAAATGGAAAAGGAAAGCTACCTTCACTTAGACAGATGAACAAGCAGAAATACACAGATAACCATCTCAAGAGACAGCTCATGACGAGGGTCCACATTGATTAACCATCTCATGATAAAACCAAAGATGATTGTGGCCTTGTGAGATCAGGTGAATCGGGGTTTCAGGATAACGAAAGTAAATAAATTCAAACTGTACCTCCAAGTTAGGCCACTGCAGCATCTCCTCCGCAAGCATTTTAAGAGCAAGACGATCTTCAGGGATCTTTCCTTCATTGACCTACAATTGGAACTGCACTATAAATAATCCCAGTAATAATAGTATTACACATAACATCAAGGAATTTTTACCCCAATGTGGCAGCATAGGACGCTAAGCCGTCATAAAGAAAATTACGAATTCAGAGATCAGAGAAGAGCAGCTTATTCGTATAGAGACATTTGATGTACTAGCAGAACGGATTCAAGAGTATTAGACAATCACACTAAATGGGGTGTAGCAATACGATTTTCTAATTCCCCTGGTTAGTCTGTCTTTAAGTTCTTTTGGTGTTCTATTCAGGCAAGCAGTGTTCGTGTTCTTGGGTGTTGATTTGGAATTCTTACAAACAGGCCTGCACCCCCTTGGTACTTCTTTGGGTAATACTTCACTCGCGAGAAAAAAAAGAACTATGATTTATCAAGCTGTACTCCTACCTTGAACATGCTCAGGTTCTGGGCAATGAACAAAATAATGGAAAAGAGAGATCCAGAAAAACAGAAGAAGTTTCTCATGTTTAGGAATTTGGTATTAGCTTTTCTTCTTTGTACTCAGTAATATTTTTCTTATTATGGTTGGATCTTCCATGTGAAAATCATAATTATCCCAATCAATTTGCGAGAGAGCGAATGCAATTCTTCAGGTCAAGATTGAAACCTCCCATTATCTTTCTGCAGAAGATTCATGATGCATTCAAAAACAATAACTAAACTCAAGAGTCTATGAAGGCAAACTACTTGAGAAAGAGCTCCAAGCAATATGCAAGATTTGGCTTGCGAGAGGGAAAATTATTTTCCCACCATCATCAATGATTGAAAATTAGAAAGCTAATTGTACCAATTGCTGCACCATGGCCATCTTCAGATTTCAGTCACTGTCGTTTCGGAAAGCTACTAACCAAAGTTAAAAAGAGCAAGGTGTAGGCTGTCTTCATATGTCCACACATCAATCCTAGATATCGTTAACCATTAAGTGAGTAGACAACAGGGTACCTATAGTCCTCATACATTACATCCTTATATTAATCCTAGATAGCTTTGACCATTAAGTGGGGCACAACAGTTTAACTACGGTCTCCTGGAACTTAGCACAACTTTGTAGACGCGTTCTCTGCAAAGTGTCAGCTGCAAGGGCAATTGACAGTGTTAGAAAGTCCAACCCAAAAGCTTAAGCTATTAGGTGGAGAGAGACCACATGAATATAAAGAGCATTTAGAACCCGTTGTCAATCGATGTGGGATAATTCTTCAACACCCCCACTCACGTGCAAGTCGGATTACGAGGAGCACGTGAAATTTTGACATCGCACATTCACATGGAATTTTTACCACGCACATTCGCGAAAGGGATAGCATTGGCTCTGATACCATGTTAGAAAGTCCAACCCAAAAGCTTAAGCTATTAGGTGGAGAGAGACCACATGAATATAAAGAGTATTTAGAACCCGTTGTCAATCGATGTGGGATAATTCTTCAACAGACAGATTGTCCCCACTTTTAAGATACCTATAAAAGCCTACTGCTTCCCGTATGTAATAAACTAAGCTTCATGAACTCCACAGTAGATGCTAAACTAGAACATCCCCTCTTTTATCTCATTCCGCTCTATGAAATTACAAGTGCTTTGGACATTGAATTTTCTATTGGGTTCTCATAATGTCTGGCCAAATTATCACAAGTACTCTGAAAATCAGTGAGTTGAAATCACAAATTTCGAATCTGTGGTAATTTTTAGCTGGTGGTGGTAATATTTCAAATGTGTTAGTACATTCCGTTATTTCCAGGACAACTTTCTAAACACTTCACTCACAAATTTGCAGAATCGCCCCACAGAAACACCATTACTGCCTAAAAGCATTCCTCTAGATAATATAACTCACAGTTAATGTCTCCCATTGAACAGGATTACTCATAAACCACCAGAAAACCCAGTAAAACACCAAATTCAACGAAAGGCCTGAGAGCTACCCACGCAGCATATTCTTAAAATTCTAGGAGCTGACCTCAAACATATGAGCCCAGAAAACAAAATTCAAGGACAGGAAGACATACTTGCACTAGAGCTTCAACCAAATCGTCTCTAGTCGGGGCATCGGGATCTTCGATCCCAAGGAGTCTCCTTCGCTCGACTTCCCTCGGATCCTCGATCATAATCGTCAGCTTGACCTACAAAGAACCATAAAATTGCACAAGTTAGAACAAAATTCTACTCCATTAGGGACCAAAGTGAAGCAGGCCACAAGAAAAGAGCACCAAACCAAGCAAAAACCAGCAGGAAGAAAGGCAATCACCTCACTGAAGATCATGTCTCTATTCTTCTTCAGAAGCTCCAACACCTGCAAGCAGAGACCAGACAAGGCAATTCGATCAGCAGCGCGGGACAAAGGAAAACCGCAGCGATAACCAAAAGCGCAGAGAAACCACGAGAGCGAAGAGCTTACTCTCCGAATCTGCCGCACATACTCGAGATCCTGAGGATCGACATCCTCGTACTCACCCCGCTTCTCCTCCTCCTCCTCTTCCACGACAGAGGAAGTCCGCAGCTCGGCCTCCTCCTTCCCTACGCTCCTCACCCTCGCCGCCTTCCTCCGCAACCCGCGGCTCCCGCACCGGCGGTTCGGCGCCGAACTGCACCCGACCCGCCGGCTCGGACCCGGCCAAGAGAGAGACCGCGCATCACCGGAGCCGGAGAAAGCGATAGGGAGAGAGAAACGGCACCGAGGCGGCTGCAGGCTCAGCATCTGGGACGCTCTCGTTTCCCCCCGCCCCCCCTGCTCGTTGCTGGACCCAGCTAGCTGGAGCTAACGGCGGCAGCTGGTGCGCATAGCTCGGTGATGCTTCTCCGATGATGGGGCTGGCGAAGAAGGTGGGGACGGCGGCGGCGGAGGAGGAGGTGGTGGTGGAAGGAGACGGCGGAGCTGCGGAGGATGGCGGGAAGCAAGTGGCGGTGCTGCTTTATCTTCTGCTGCGACAGAGGGACAAGAAGAAGATGATGAAGATGATTACTTTGGCTTTGCGGTTTACTGGTAACCGTTGAGTTTCCATCGGTTACGGTCACCTGTCTAATTTCTAGATTTGTTAATTTTCTTCTTCTTTTTTTTGGCCTTTTGCGAATTTGTGGTTTTTTTTTTTGTCGGAAACGAATTTGTGGTTACGTATTTTCATTTCAGGTCAGTACCGTTAAAAATTTCAAACTGGCATCCACGACGTGATTATCCCAAATTAATTTTCGTCTCGAGAAAAGAAATTTCTAAAACGGTACTCCTAATCTGAATCTACTTTCAACTAGGGGTGTGCATGGTCCGGGTGGGCGGTTCCCACCCCAGAACCGTGGACCGCCCGCTACAGGACCGGTTCCAAAAATTGGAACTGAGAACCGCCCGTCGGTTCTATAGACCCGCCCAAGAACCGGACCGTCGGTCCGGTCCGGTTCTTGGGCGGGTCCATGGAACCGGTCTCAACAAGTTTTCCTAGACAAATAAAAAAAAAAATCTGTGGACCAACATCTAATCAACAGAACAAAAGGAAAAGAACATAACTTTTCATACAATTCCTACACTATAATCGATTATATTAACCACATCATCCATAAATCAAGTGGATACCCATTAATTATTGGGAAAAATGACCAAGGTATTCCAACTACACAAGAGCTTCAGACATGATAACAAATTTTCTTCTTTTTTTTTTAAATTTTTTTTGGTCAGATTTTTTAATTAAAAATTAAAAAAATAAAATATATTATTATTATATTATCGGTCCGGTCCGGGTGAGCGGGTGGGCGGTTCCACACCGGGAACTGGGAACCGGCCCAAACAATACCGGTTCCAAAAAATTGGAATCGGGCACCGGATCGGTTCCCTTGGGAACCACCGGTTCCGGTCCGATTCCGGGAGGTTCCGAGCGGTCCGGGCAGGTCCCGGTTCTTTTACACACCCCTACTTTCAACTTGTCAAATTCCAGTTTCAATTATTTGTAGATAAATTTGGGTCACGGGTATCATTTCGTGATTTTTTGTGAAAAGAAAATTAATTTTGAGTAAGTATGTTATAACGATGTCGGGTCGGGATTTTTTGTGAGATGAAAACATATTTCGAATTAAATATGTAGTGGCTACCGGTTTAAAATTTTTTAATGGTATTAGCATTTTAAAATTTTTTCTCCCACTCTTTCAACAAAAAAGATGGGGAAAGAAGATAAATAGCAAGAAGATTTTTTCACAGTTACTTTTCGTTTCCATTTTAGAAATTACATTTCCCTAATTTCCAATTTCCTTTAAAAAAATTTAAATGGAAAAAATTATTTTAAATTTTAAGAGAATAATATATGATGATATATAATTAACATTTCGAAGGTTTTGGGAGTGTGCACTGAATAACAGTAAAAAAAAAAGCCAAAATGATAGTCTAATATGTTTTTATATTGACTTTGTGGGGTGGAGGTGATTGGAGCCTTGGAAGAGGTCTAGGCCTTCGAAAGGTGGAGACGGTCATTCAACTGGACACTACACGGTAGGGGTGAGTGGTTCCAGGTTCCGGATAGGTTCCGCCTGGAACCTGAAACCTACCATCGGGTACAGGTTCCTTATTTTTTGGAACCTGGAACCTACCCGTCAAAACGTGGAACCTGGAACCTACCCTGTCACAGGTTCTAAGGTTGGTTCCAAGTTCTAACAGGTTCTTTTTACCTGACCATAACAAGGATAGAGCAGAAAATTAAATTTTAGCCTTCCACTGGACCATAGCAAGTGATTATTTACGCAAGCATAAGAAGCGAAAAAGATCAAATCAGCTAATAAAAATTTGTCATATGAATCTCAATCATTCAAAGTACCACATAATCGGAGAACCAACTACAGAGACCCAGTAAAACCACAAAAGACATAGAAACTGTTTCCACAACTTCAGTCTCATTTGCCTTCCAATGCTTAGCGATATTCTCAGATAGCGGATCATTGGGGTTTGGAGCGCTCAAAAAAGCTTGAATGCTGCAGAACAGTACATCAGAAAACACTTCCATCAGCTATTGTACAAAAAATCCAACATAAACATGCCGAACCTCAATTCCAAATACTGTAAACTTACCATTTTGCATGACAAACTCAAACAAATGCTATTGCATTAGCCTCCATAATAGATAAAGGGAGAGGGATGCCGTGAGCCAGCAAAACTAAGATCTACATCTATAACAATTTAGTAGAACTTTTGTGCTCCTTAGCTATTTAGATTGTTAGAGTGCCAATGCAGCCTATTCAGTCCCTTTCCAGAAGTCTCAAATATGCAAAGGGAAATCACTAATATACCTAAGAAGTACAGTGCAGGACTCCACTTGTCTTTCAAGATGTCGAGGCATATCCTACCAAGCTGATTAAAAGAAAAATCACATTAAGAATCAGATGGATATTCCAGCCAAAAAAAGAAAAAAAAGTTGTAATAGTACCTTTTCAATATTGGGATGGTATATTTTTGTGAGAAACCTAACCTGTGGCACAAGTAATGATTAGAAGCTAAACCCCATGAGTCACCACTATTTTTGGATAAAGCAGTTGAAAACCTTAGGACAAATAAAAACTTCAAAAGTACTTAAGTGAAGACCCAGGAGTCAGCAACGCTAGTAATGTCCAGCTTCATCTGAGAGTTATCTAAGCAACCATATGCATATGTTCGCACAACCAATCAAATCAATCAAAATAGCTAACAGATGAACCGTAAAAAGAGTTACTCGGACAAGCAACATGCAGACTGGAGGGAGCCACTCAGCAGTCAAAATGAAGCGAAATCCAATATGACCTACAGCAGTAAGCCAATCAATTTTTTTGCCTCTTTCTGACAGAAATGCAAAGGCTCTAGAAACAAGAGGAAAGCCATTACCCCACCATGAACCCGAGAAAAAAAGAAAAAGAGAGTTTGAAACAATTACAAAGGGAAAGATGAATCAATGTCCTATTCATCTATTTTTTTTAGGTAAGCAAGTTACTGTCTTTAAACTAGCATGTAACTTTTATTGTCAACACCAAGGCATAAATTGATTATGTATCTTTCACAACCCATTTACAGAGCACTTGCAATCTAGCACCTCTACTTGATTGAGATTCTGTGCTGGAAAGAACCAAGCAGCAGATACCTTGACGATAGAAGTTACTATATATATAAAGAAAAGACCGTGCTTAAGTGAAAATTACCTAAGGAGCAGCCATAGGATATTCTTCAGGCAAAAACAACTCTAGTTTGAAAACTCCTCCTGCAAAAAGATTGCAAAAAGACAAGCAAACAAGTTAACTAAGAGATTAGTTATGACAGAACAAATTTTTTATGAACCGTCGGTTTGAGTGCAAGTTAACTAAGTTAGATTCTCCATCAAATTTTTATTTAAAATTTTCACCCATACTTGCAGAAAACACAATTTAGAAAGAGCTTTCTAGCACCTGCTTCATATTTTCCATTTTTAGTTCATTAATCACGGCTATATATTCGCTTTTACATAAATGGCTACCATGAAGATAGACATGCGCAATAAATTTAGGGGGAACAGAAGAGGTAACTCACAATGAATGGAATGAATGCTATCCAGAAGTATGTATGCCAGCCTGCACAAAGAAAAGTAAAAAGCAGAGGTCACGTGATAACAATCACAACATCCGGCCACACTCAAATACAGAAACTGCGCAAAAGGCACTGGTGAGAAAATAATGTGCATTTACAATAATAAATTGGACCCAGCAAGTCTATGGTTTTCAACATGGTACTTTTATACACTCAAAGCAGATGAACCTCAAAAGCATCACTAAAAGATTAAATATTGGCATGCATATCCATGAAGACAGGCATGGCGATAAATAAACAATTTCATTAATGCAGATTGTTATAAAAGAACACTTCTGGCCATTAAAGCAATAAAATAAAATAAGTATTAGAAAGCCTCGCCACATATATTCATTCTTCAACTGGTAAACTCTATTTACCGACGATAATCTCCTCGTCAAGACAATCCATATCTAAAAAAAAAACGAGACTAAATTAAATATTCACTTATTAGATATATAAAAGGAATTACAATATATAAAGATATAAACATCACTTACCCAACTCAAATTTTTCTGTATTCTCGATGCACTCTTCAACATTAATCGACACACGAATGGCTCTCAACCAATCTTGAGTGCAAATCAAAGCTTCTACTACTTTGGGTGTCAAAGAACTTCGAAAGCCATCAAGCACACGACCCGATGTACTAAAAGTCGACTCTGAAGCAACAGTAGTTACAGGAATAGACAAAATATCTCGTGCCATCAAAGATATGATCTTATATTTTGAGCCGCTAGTCTTCCACCACATCAAAAGGTCAAGATCAATAATATTTTCATTTTTATCCTGAAGATACCGATCAAGTTCAGATTTGTTGTCATCGCACTCTGTTTGATTCGAGTGCATAAAGGATTTCCGAAAAGCTTGGGGGTCATACTTCTTCTTACCTTTGTTACCACCGACATCGGTATTGGAACCACTACTACTTGCACTCAAATTTTGGACACCAAAATTTCGATCACTTGCAGCAAGAGAAGATTGCTCATAAAATTCATACAAACGCTCCAATGCATCCTTCACCTTATAATGCATCTCATTAACTTTTGATTCATCATCATAAATTTGTCCATACAAGAAATTCACATAATTCAACTTGGCTCTAGGATCCAACACAACCGCAATCAACACCATCATATTCACTTTATCCAAACTCCCATAATATTTGTCAAATTTTTCTTTCATTTTCCTACCCATAGTTTGAAGTTTAGGATCCGAAGCATCCGCCGCCACATCTTTTAGATATTTATACAAAAAAGCTATCCCATCAAAGTAATCATTTGAAGTAACATATGAACTCCCCGACATCCGATTGGTGGGATCATAGAATAGTTTTAGAAATTCCGAAAGAACAATGGCATTTTTCCAATCATCATCTTTAGGAAGATCATCATTAAGCTCACTCACAAAAGATGGATCGTCTTCTTCCATCCTTTCAAAAGCTTTTCTGAATTTTATGGCGGTGTCTAACATGTGGTAAGTGGAGTTCCATCTAGTGGCAACGTCAAGAATAATCGAACCCCTGTAGGTGATCCTTTCACCCTCAATGCAAGATTGAAATGTGTTGGTCCTCATAGGAGAACTCCTCACATACCTAACCACATTTCGGATACGTGCAATAGATTCACGTACCGTAGTCAAGCCATCTTTAACAATCAAATTTAATATATGAGCGGTACACCTCATGTGTAAAACACTACCATCTAAGATCAACAACCTTTCTCTTGAAAGTCTTTCCTTCAAATAAGCAATTGCAACATCATTCGAACTAGCATTATCAACGGTGATTGTGGACACCTTTTTTTCTATTCCCCACTCGAAGATGCATTTCTCCACCATTTTCCCAATTTCCCTACCCTTGTGACTATGCATCACCACAAAATTGATGATTCTTTTATGCAACCTCCAATTTTCATCAATAAAATGTGCAGTGAGACACAAATAATTCAGATTTTGAATGGAAGTCCATGTATCAGTCGTGAGTGCGATCCTAGAATTAATCTTACCAAAGTAAGTCTTCAAACAAGTTCTTTCACAGAAATACAGCTTCATGCAATCTCTAGCCACTGTAAAGCGTGATAAATGTTTGAAGAGAGGTTGTAACTCAGTGACAAACTCACGAAATCCAACACGCTCAACCAAGGAAAAAGGTTGTTCATCAATTATGATGAATAGAGCAAGCATTTCCCTAGAACGTTCTTGATTAAACGACCATGTCGACAAGACACTACCAGTACTCGAATCTCCCACTGCCTTACCAGCCACGTCTACATTACGTGGTGCAAAGAATTTCTGCCTTTTATCTACATTGCGAGGAAATTTCTTGCACGTTGTCAAGTGCTTCCTCTTTGCGGAAGTACCGTTAGCAACACGGTACTTTAACACAGACTTACAATGAAAGCACTTCACTTGATATGTTTTTCCATCATTATCTTTGATTCTCTCATAATGATTCCAACAATCGGATTATACTTCTTATCACAAGGAGGAAGACCAAGTACCTTGTTTCTCGCACTCATGGTATTAGATGCCTCTTCTTCATTTTCATCACCCGACAATTCCAATTCTGTGATCGGAGTCATCTCCTCACATCCCTCCACCTCCATTGACATGTTATCTTGATAAGTCAAGCAAACAACACTAGCCAAGCAAACAACACGAGAACAAATTACCATCCGCAACATCAAAGAGATCAGCACACATAATGAAAATCGCAACTATACACTAAAACTAAGATAGGAAGTTGAAGGAAGAAAAGGGTAACGCTGACGGACCTAATTCACCGAATTCAATCTTAATTTTCAACCCACTCAGAATAGCCGAAAGGGGTAGTAGCTCAACCAGAACAGAAATCTGCAATAAAAGATGTCAGATAGACATGAGAGAGAGAGAGAGAGAGAGAGAGAGGGAGGGAGGGGGTGCGGAAGGGAGCTCTACCTCGGGGTTTTATAGATCTACAACTGAATCTGATATAGCATCCTTAACTGCTGCAGCTACGACTTTACATGTCCTTTCAAAAGCAGTTGACTGTTTGACTGTTCTCTCTGTGACTCGTCAAAAGCAGCACATATTTCCTTTACAGCTTGGGCAAAGTACTTGACTGTTTTACCTTGACATCGGGCTGCCAACCTAGTCTTTGTCTCACTAGTGAATATTTGGATATCCACAGGAGCAACAAAAGCTCTCTGACGCCAATATCTGAAAAGATGACCAAATTACAAAATGGTATATGAAGCCATACAACAAGTCGAGGGTAATTTATCAGACTAAAAATGAATTATAAAACATTGGAAAGAATTACATTAACTTCACCCGTACTATTTTTTTTTTTGAAAACCATAAAAGTCTAATACAGGTATTTTAAGAGCAATTTAGCTTGATAAAAAGATATACTAAAAGATTGAAATACCACATAAACCAACAAGATGCAAAAAAAAAAGGCCGTTTAGGGAGGGGGGTTTTATTTTGCTGGGTGACCCAAATGCAACTCCCAAAGCCTGCTTTTCCAGCCAACATGAAATAAAATCACAATTGTTGCACTACATACCAAGTAAATGGCAAACACAATGTGAGCACGGGAACTTTAAGAGTGATTGACCAACTTACAAGGACAAGTGCTTTCATAGAAACTTCACTAGGACAACAATGACATAATAAATACTAATACAAAGTATGACGCATTTGTTATAGACACCGCTTAGTTTCAGTCCTATTATGCTCAAACCACTACGTTCAAAGAAGTAACCACCTTGTGCTAGCGTTTTCACAGAGTATTTGCCCATCCATTGATCCTGTATGTGTGTCCACACCACAAAACAATTGGACTAAATTACAAAATCCAACTTCATTGCCAAAATATGAGTGAATCACAGATACTAAAACATGAAGCCAATGTGGGCTTTAAAAAATCTGACGGTTTGCATTTATTCAAAGACCCACTAAAGATTTTCCCCAAAGTGGGGTTGGGATCCAAAATCATAAATAACAAAAATGAAAAGCAAATGGCAAAGCGATCAAAGAGACTTGGTGAGAAAAGAAAAACAACTCAAGAGAAAGACGCAACAATTTAAGCAGGTAAAAGGAAGATCAACAATCTGACCAAAAAAAAAAAAAGGGAAGATCAACAAGAAAAAGTGGAAATCACCTTAAAAAGACTGACAGAGAAATCTTACCACCGATTCCTAAAAAGTTAACCTTGATTAAACATACTATTTCCAAAAAATTTAAATTTTACAACTTGCAGTTTCTAAATATCAAATCCACGGTGTGTTATTAGATATGATCACCACTAATACAAGTGATTGCAAATGTAACAGCCTAGCAAGCTCAATCTGTAACATTTACTTTACATGTCCTTTCATCTTTATACAGTATTCCTTTACCAACAGACTGTAGCCTGTAGAGGAATTGCATGGAAAAGAAGACAGCTCTTCATTTGTATCTAAAGTGCAAAGATGAATTTTGACTCACACTTTGATATAATGGGTGACTTCATTCCACAAGTCGAAAGCTCATAATAATGACTAAGGCTAGAGTACAACCTACTTTTTCTATGGTTCATAAAAAAATACTTCCTATGGAACAACAGAGATATACTTTAAAAAGAAAAAATCAAAAGCATGGCATAAGGCAAAATGCTAGAAGGAGATTCTAATTAACAAATTGTCCTCTCATTCTTCTGTCTGTGCTAGTGTCTGCTTCTTTAGAGAAGAGGGGCATGAGGGACCAGGAGTAGATGAACTGGGCCAGCCTCTATATCAAATAACCTTAAGGTTTACCAGAGAGAGAGAGAGAGAGAGAGAGAGAGATAGCTGCTCATGAACACAACACTTAGTTACTGCAAGAAAGGTAGGAACGAATACATAAACCTAAATAAAGCCATTAAGCTAAATACTAAGACATAAATAAACAAGTACCGCCACCAGCTCGTAGAGCTTACGTTTTTTGTATTTCAAAAAGATGCACAAAGTGCTTCTTTGGGTCAGGAGTCTGTTGCCAATCCTCTGGCTTGCTAATCTGAAGACACAAAAGCAATTATCATTCACAGAGCAACCATCATACAAAAGATGCGCACCGCATCCCACTGAGATGATCAATATAATCAATGTATCTATGCAGTATCAGACTTCAAACAGAAACCATGAAGACAACAAGCTACTTTGGATCTAACTGAATAGCCCAGAGGCAAACCTAAATCACTAGTGAGCCACGAGGTAAAGCACGAAAAACAGTGCTTAAACATGCCAATTCAGTTTTGAAAACCCAAAAAAGCAAAATTAAACCTCATTCGCCTCTATTTCCAACTAATCCAAAGAATCACATACATTCAAAAAGGTTCACTTCCGAAGTGCCGGGTAGAAACAGTACACAATGCGAGCAAGTAAGAAAATCGAAAAAAACCAGCCTCCCCAAACACAACGGCCGACCACCTATTCACTTCATAACATAAGCCGAATTAAATCGAACTAAACCATTTTCCAATCGCGAGAAGGCAACCAAAAAAAAAGACAGAAAGTAAAAACTTGCGCTTGAACACCCAAACAGAAATGAGAAAACACGAAACAATCAAAGGGAAGATAGAGCAAAAAGCGCGAACCTTGGCAGGCCAAGCAGGGTGGTCCTTGACTTTGGCAAGAACGAGATCCCCCTAACTCAACTGACGCTTACTCTTGTCCTTGCTCGCTCCCTTCTTGCGCCCTCTAGCCAGAATCGGAAACCCTAGAAAAAGCAGAGACCGCGAACGAGCCAAACCGCGGTTGATGAAGACAGAGGAAGAGCCGAGGCGGACGCCGAATGGAGCGAGGAGAGGCGAGACGATCTCGTCGAGTCGTGGGTGTTGGGAGTGGGAGAGAGAGCGCAATGGAGGAGTGACCGAGCATGGGGAAATTTGGGAATAAACTAAGGAAGTTAGGGTTTTTACTTTTTAGTAAGGGAGAGAGCCGGTTCCGATTCCGGTTCTGGGTTCGGTTCCGATTCCTATAGGAACCGGGAACCGGAACCGGAACCGACGATTCCTAAAAAATTGGAACCGGGAACCGGAACCTCTCACCCTAGAACCGGGAACCGAACTGGATCCGCCGGTTCGGTTCTTCGATTCCCGGTTCTACCCTGGAACCGTGCTCACCCCTACTACACGGTCTGATATGGTTGATTTCTACAACTTCCTCAAATGGGTTGCTTCCATGGTGAGTGTAATAATGGGCTCAAAGACCAGCCCAATTACCCCTTAAATTCTTGCGGGATAATGACATAAATAGTTATTGAACTCTGGTCTAATGTGCAATGCGGTGCCTGAACTTTTAATTTTTTTCAACGTGGTCTCTGAAATTTACCCTAATGTGCAATGTGGCCCCAAACTTTTAATTTGTTCAATGTGATCTCTGGACTTTTGGCAAATATTTGATTTAGTCCATGAACTATATGAAAATATTCAATACTGCCCTTTCATTAATTTAAGTTTAGAGACAACATCGAATATTTTCATAAACTGCAGGAAATAAATTGAACATATACCGAAAGTCTAGAGACCACGTTGAACAAATTAAAAATTAGGGACCACATTGTACATTAGGCCAAACTTCATGGATCATATGTGCCATTTTCTCAATTCTAGCCACAAAGCTCCACCGCCTGAGTTTAAAAAAAAAAAAAAGGAAAGGGAAGAGGAATGTGAGTTTGTCGATGAAGAGGAAAAGGGAATCGCGGACAGAAGAGAGAAATTTTCGCCTACCCATTTTGGAAGTCGATGAGCCAAATCAACTCCGACTTACATCGCCTTATAAGTATTTAAGCCCATTATTCATATAATCGGAGTAATTTTTCAAACTTAGATTGTAAATATGAAGTTATGTCAATTTTGAACCGCGATGTTCAATTGAGGAGTTATTAAATTGTAGATTTATATGGAAATAATAGTTTAGGGCATTGTGGAGCAGTAGGATTTGATGAAAATCGATTCCGATGTACGGTTTGATCGGAATGAATTTTTGAAGTTTCGCGTTGGAGTTACGCGTAATGAACAATACTGGCAATGGACAAAGATGAACGTTTGGTATAACAAGTTTCTTAGTTAGTGTGGAGAAGTCGTTTTATCGACGAAAACGTAGTTTAGTTGAGTCGTTCGTTAGAGCAATGTATGATTCAGATTTTGATTTTTAGCTTTCTCAAGTGAATGGTTCTATCTCTTTTTTTAGAATTTGTAAACTCATATTTGAAAAATATATGGCTTAGTCATATTGTGCGTTAAAAAATGACATTTTTGGCTGCATAAACTGCATTGAGCATTTACTACCGTTTTGTAATTTTGAAGTGGCAAGATATCTTTGGATTACAGTGATTGCCTGTAAATGGTTTGCAAAATATTTTATAAAAGAATCACAAAAAGTTCATGATTTATGAAAGGTACTTTGATATATATTGAATCGTGAAAAGTTATATGATTTGGTAAGTAAATCCGAGTTTTGATATGGTTTTTGGTTTTGGTTATGGGTTATTGGAGATTGAGGTTGGTAGATTGTGCTCATGTCGCTCCCTTGTCACGGGCGTTAAGTGTGACCATAGTCATATATTGAACATTAGATTAGCTGATGGAATGGACTATTGATATTTGATTTAATTGAGATTGATTAATGGAATAGACAATTGGTGATTGATTTGTTATTATGAGTTGATATTGTTGATTGATCTTATAAGTACAAAGTTTTCGCTTTTAATATTTTACGTATATCGTACATTGTATTTGGGATTAATGAGTAATGATATCGTTTTATAAAGATGCATAGTGAATGTTTGATTTGCTTAAAAAAATATACTACTTAATGGGTTGTGGTTGCTCATTTCATTCATCTTATTTGCTTTTCAGGTTCTTCGGTTAGCCGTAAATAAGACGAGTGCATTTATATTATGAGGAGGACATTGCAGATAGGTATAAGTTGTTTATGTTAGAGATGAACTTGTGAGTTCAGGTGTTAGATGGAGATGTATATACTCTTTTGATGGATTATAGAAACTCTTATCCTATAGCAAGATTTCCTTTTTTATCATATATATATATATATATTTCGATAACAGGTTGATAATGGTTATGTTTGAGACTGCCATTGCCTCTGATCTTGTAAACTTGGGGGTGTGACAGTGAGACAGCTTGGAATGCGGTAGGAATGGAGGTGCGGCAGCCTCTTAGCATAAGCTTATCTGGTTCTTCCCCAACTTGCCTTAATCTTGCTTTATATCTTGGTTGCCGATACTGAATAGACTCCTTACATTTGATAGGATTGACAAGCGGTCTGTTATTGCTAATTCTCGGCGTTCGTTATGTAATATGTGTCTTGAATCAAAGCCTTATTTGTTTTCTGAGTGCCGGTTTTCTTCTCAGATCTGGTCAGAGGCGCTAAAGCTTTGCCTCGTGAGAATTTCTATTGGAAATTGGCAGGTTGAATTGGACAGGGTGAACTGACCAAAAAAAATAAAAATGGACAGGGTGATGACAGTTAGGCGAAAAGAAAGATTTGCAGATCCTTCTGTTCTCATTAAGATTGTGTGGAATACTTATGGAGAGCCAGAAACGAGAACTTACATTCTCAAAGGTCTTCATCCATTAACAGTATCATTTCTGCCATTCGAATTGTAGCAAAGAACGGATCCGAAGGTCTAGAATGAATTAGGAACAAGGTGACTACTCCAAACATATGCAGCTGTGTATAAAGTGGGACATATCTTTTTGATTGGGGGTTTCGGTTGACTAGAGTTCTGTTCTTTGTATTGTCCTACTTTGATAAGATGTCACTTATGCAGCATGAACATTATAATATCCTGTAAAGATCAGATGTTTCTTCGTGAACAAACTACTTCAATGCTACTTTTTTTTGTAGTTGAAGTTCTTTAACGAAAGCAGTCCAGCAGTTGTTCACCTGCTGAAGAAGCAAACTGCACGCACACAGCTTCCCTTTTAAATCCCATCTCGCAATTGAATTCCTCTCAAGAGCCACAGCCAACTTGAAGAGAAAAAGAGTCGAAAAGTGAGCATCGAAGAAAATGGCTGTGTATCATTTGGTCGTCCTCGTGTCTCTCTTTATGGTTCCTAGATCGGAATCGGCCGCATATGCTTTCAACCGCACCGATTTACATGTGGCGGTCAATGACATGAGATCGAGATCCTTCTTTGGTTTTGCCATCCTACTTCAAATGCTGAACGGCACATCAGAGCCGAACCGGGACTTGACTTTCCTGATACCCACGGATCCTGAATTGTCAGCGTCATCGATCTCAGTCAACCGTCTTGAAGAGTTTCTTCTCAGCCATTCCATCAGAGTGCCTCTGTCCTTCGGTGACCTGTCTCATTTTCCTACAGGAACACTTATCCCGTCGGGGTATAGGGACCGGCTGGTCAGGATCCACAACCATGGGAGACTGAGCTTCTTTGTCAATAATGCTCGGGTTACCAGGCCAAACGTGTGCTCCAACTCTATGATCAAGTGTCACGGGATCGACGCAGTGATCGAGTTCGACCAGCATTTTCCGAGAAATGGAAAGCTTAAGGACAGTCCACCAAATTCAAGTGCACCTCCACCGATGGAAGCCCCGAGTCCTGTTTGAATGGCTTCGCCTTTGGTTTCTGTTCCTAAAACTGACAAATCTGCTTCATACATGGATGACCTTGTTTGTGTGGAAGTGTGATTCCGTTAGCTCTCAAACAAAATTAGGTGGCCAGCTTCTTGATTTGTACATCTATGTTCCCGGACTAAAATTGCAAAATAACAGCCTATTGAAGCATGAATTAATTACTTATCCATGAATTCCACTGGTACATTTAACATTCCCTATCGCGAGCAAATCACGAGGAAGACGAATCACTGAATATCGTTACTCACGGACTATGATGACTTCAAGAGTAAGATCGACGAATGGCGCGCCATACCGAGGGATTTACCAGATGAGATGTGGTCCCTGACTGCCACAAGCACATGTTATATGTTAAAGATGTCACTTCCTATGATTACATGTAGAACTGATCTTTAATATTAAGCAGTCTTACAATATGATAACAAAATATCAAGATATACCAACTAGAGGGTACATATATAAGAGTCTGATTACAGATGAAGAGAAGTGTCCACATCGTCACTGTCATAAGCTTGAGTACATTTATCAGAGACATCGTGATTCGAGTTTGGTTCGGAAGACATTAAGTTCACTAGGAGAGGGATCTCTGTGCGCCGATAATTGGAGTAATGATCCGCCGTGCTCGGACAAAGGGAGAAAGGAGCTCGTGGAGGTGAATGCCGAGGAAGACTCGGTTCGCCGCGGACGAACGATGGATTCGCATGTTGCTGATAACCCCGGGTCTGGTCGGGCGCCTCACACGGCTGTTTGGCCGATTTCGAAAACTCTCTCTCCTCTCTCATCTCCTTCACCCTCTGCAACTGCTTGAATCTCTCTTGCAACAAGGCAATGGAGGAATGATTCACAACATGGTCATTGCTCTCTCTCCCCATTTGCTTCATGACAGGCCCGCGCGTAAGGATGATCTGTCTTTAACCTTAAGCGGCCTCCACCAAAGCCTTTAGATGTATATATAGGATGATGGTGTGGCACCTAGCTATTGTCCCTTTTATTAAGTTAAGCATATGTAGGCTGCTAGCCTCCCAATGTCATTATAATTCAACTTTCTTTAAAAAGAAAAAAGAAAAAGGACAGTGACTAGTGAGAATCAGCTGGAAAGAGAGCATAGGTCCAAGAAGAAAGTGTTTGAGTGGTCAATCTAAGGAGTTACTTCATAGGGTGTACATGAAAGTAGAGGCAAGAGCATTGCAAAAGAAGAAAAGGGTCCCTAGAGAAGTCCAAAAGAGAGTTTGAAATTAGCTCATGGAAGTGCATGATTGTGAGAATATGGTTGGGTATAACTTGTCCCTAGGAAAGAGTCCACTTTATAAAGCTTTGGAGATGATGGAGATGATGATGAGGATGGAGCCTTTCATTTTGGTTTCCAAAGTTCTGTTTGGCCTTTGTTTCATCTTATGCGTGGTCAAATATTCGACTCGGTTAATCTCTATGAACTCACACAAATCACGCCTTTCATGTGCATTAACCCATAAGGCTCCATCCATTGACAGGGTGGATGGAGTGCCCTTTGAGGTTACTCTAATTGAAAGACGGTGCCTTAGGCACGAGATTTGTCGCAGACAAATCGAGCGCTTAATCACTCAGTCGATTCTCGACTGCTACAACCAAATGATGGAGCCTCTCAAATTTTTTTTCCCCTAAAACTTTGCTTGGTCTTTGCTTCCTTTTATGGGTAGTCCAACATTCAACTCGATCAATCTCCACAAATGCACGCAAGTCCGCTCCTTCCATGTGCATGAGGCCATAAGGCTCCTCTACGGAAATGGTGGATGGAGCGCCCTTCAGGGGTTGCTCTGATAGGGAGACGGTGACTCAGGCACGAGACTTATAACATCCGAATCAAGCCCTCAATCACACACTCGATTCTTGGCTGCTACAATAGTGATTAATAATTGCCTCACTCGTATTCTACGGCAAAATGATTTCCTAGGAGAAATGGAGGAGAAATAATGGTTGGGATGGGGGGGCGGTCTTCAGGGGAAAAGGACAAAGAGTTAGATGTGAGAATTGACGTTGATTCTTCGGAGTTCGATCATACGCCGATTGAAAAAGAAAGAAAGAAGAAAAACTAATGCAATGGGACAATGGAGAACGTACATATCAACATTCACAGTCACTCATATTCTCTATTGTCTTGAAGCTGTTGTAGTGGAATGGCATGCCCCAGCTGAAAAAAAAAAGCCTGCGTGTAGGAGCTTGTGATTGCTGGGCATTGGATGCTTTGCTTCTTCATGCCCATCCCCCTCTTGTGAATGGCATGGCTTGGACAGCTCCATTGTGAGTTTGGATGATTTTAGTTCAATCGATTAGCTTGTTGAAGCTATTCTAGAGTCGCTACCGATCGAGTTTTCTTAGATTTCAAGATCTTTTTAGGGGCTCTCAGCCATCTCTCTCGATGTTCGTTTGTCCTTTATATTATTCTTTTGAGAGAAAGTTTCGAATAAGGGCTTAAAGTAGGGTGATTTTCTTAAAAGATGACTCAGAGTGGAGCTTGTCTCAAATAAAGGAAGTTGAGTTTTTTCAAAAAAGGGCCCAAAGTGGACATTATCCCAAATAAGAATCTAAAGTAATCAAATTAATATTAAACAAAGGCCTATAATGGTCATTTCCTAAAATAAGAACCTAAAGTAACCAACTAATTCTCAAATGAGAGCCCAAACTCCCCATCTGATTAAATCTTCACCGACCAGCTCGCACATGCATTTCACTTGCTTATTCCCACGGTAACATCGGGGGCAATTTTGTCCGAAATTTTTACTTTGACCCAAATTGAAGTTAGGGTTCTTCTATGGGCAATTTTCCTCTTAATACCACTGACATAGCTTCTCCTTTTCGATCATGTTGGTTGTTATTGGCTCTTTGATGTTGCCGTTGAAATAAGAAAGTGAGCAACACGTGCAAGCCGACCGGTGAGCTCAGGCTTTTATTTGAGACTAATTTGGCAACTTCTAATCCTGATTTGATACAAGATCCATTCTGAGCTTTTTTTTAGAAAACGGCCTCTCTTTAAGCTCTTATTTAGGACTTACTTCAAGCATTTATTTGAAACAAGCTTTACTCCCAACCCTTGTTTTTAGGAAAACGATCCCACTTTATGTTACTTATTTGAGACTAAGGGCGCGTTTGGTAACTTTTCTACTTCTCTATTTTCTGTTCTTCTATTTCTGAAACAAAAAAGAACAAAATCTGTTTGAGTAGCATTTTATTTTTATTTCTGGAATAGAAAAATGGCCAAGAAATAGATTTAGAACAAAAATTTTCTACTTCTTTGTTCCCAAAACAAAAAAGAAATAGAAAAACCCGGTCCTCAAGCGCGGCCTCGGCTCCTCCTCCATCCTCCGTTGTACGTAACCGTCTCAAAGCAGGTTCTGTCCATTCCGTAAGGAATAATAAAAAAAAATTCATAAAATAAAATTAAAAAATTCCAAAAATTCCAAAACTTCATAAAAATCAGAAAAATTCTCAGAAAATCCATAAAAATCAGGAAAACTCAGAACACCCATAAAAATTTGTAAAATTCTGAAATTGAAAAAATTAAAAAAAATTCATAAAAAGTTTACGGAAAATAAAAAGAAAGATTTTGGGAAAGTAAAAAATTTTAATAAACTTTTCCCCAAAAAATCAAAAATAAAAAATTCACAAAATGGCTTAGAATAAATTAAAAAATTCCGAAAATTCACATTAGCTATTGTAGGTTTTTATTTAAAATAAGTTCCACTTTGAACCCTCTTTTGAAAAAATGACTTCACTTAAGACTCTCATTTGATTTGCCCTTCTTTTGGATCATGAGTCCAACAACTTTTGCCAATTTTGATTAAGCTTCTTAATAGATTGGCAAGTTGGTGCAAGCTATGACTTTAGAAGTTACAAAATGTGACAGTTTGAAAGAACAAATTTATAGCCATGCCTAAATTAGATTAAGTGTTCTATTTTTTTCAAAAATTTTAAAAAGTAAATAAATATATATGAAAAAAATTAGAAAAATATATATATTTATCGGTCCGGTCACAAATTTTTTGGCAATTTACGGACTTCGGTCTTGTCATTTCTTAAATATTTTGAAAAAAATTCTTTCATCTAACAGTATAAACTCTTAGAATAATTGGTAGTGGTCTCCCTAAATTTTACATAATACCAAAGCAGGAGGTCTTAATTTCAAATTCCCACACTTAGTATTTTAGTCGTTTCAAAGTTCACATTACGCATTAGTTTGCAATGATCCCACAAAATTTTACACGTTCCCAGCACATAAGAATACATTAAGTGACCGATCTCTACGGAACAAGAACAAGCAAATCTAGACTAACTACGCGCTGTACATGATTGACTCAAATCGTGATCACGAAAATTCACGAAGATGCACACTATTTCGAACCACAAAAAGAAATTAAGCAACATGTCCAAAAGAATCACGAATTATTGCGTCCGGATAATTTTGGACTCAATTTTTAAGCGTTTCAGAAAAGGCACGAACTTTTACCTCGGACCCATGAAGGCTACAATTGAATTCGTTGTTTAAGGTTCTGCATGGGGATTAACGTGGACAATAAGTAGTAACTGCTAACGTGATTGCCCCTTCGTTGCACAGCGCTGCACTCCTCATGTGGCCGTTCGATCGACAATTAATGAAATATCGACCGTCGGATTTGGGATTATTAAACTTAAAAATATGAGATGGAGGTTCGGTTTTCCGTTTTTTACCCAGCGCGAGATCACTGGTCATCCAATCACTGAGACGACAGGTGTGTGTCCGATAATGGTCGAATTCACCAGAAATGGAGAGACCGTTGACTTTGAACCGCTTCGTGGACTGACTGGTGCTTCTTCAGCTGAGCTCGCTTGTTGGTGCTGGTTTCAAATTCATGTCTGCACTTCTGTTTTTCTCGAGGTGTCTGCTACGTAATGATAAGCTCGGTTAGTGATTGAGTTCGATCGAAGATAAGCTCGAAACAGAGGTATTTTGATCGCCTTCCGTCGAAGTTCGTTTGCTGCAGGTTTGCCAAACTGTTCCTTCTGCTGGGTTCTGTTCAAGATCTGCATTTGATTTTGCGAGCGTGTTTGAGAGTGGATGCTTATTTGGAATGGTGAAGAATGATTGCGTGAATCAAAGATAGGAAGAAGAAGGAGAAGGAAGGAGACTGTGAGTACAGAACTGACGTGAATTGAATGTCAATGGTTAATCGTCTTGCTCTGTGCACATTATTGTTCGTGACAGTCGATCAGATGGAATTTGTAATGTTCATCCACTAAAAGCTTTCAGGGTCCTTGTCGAGCATCATTACTTGGGTTAGTTCGCGATTTTCCTTGATGATTGTTGGCAATTAGGTAACGAGGCAAGCTGCGAATTTGTTCGAGCCTCATGTAGAACAGCATTGTCGATGAATGTTTCCAGTGGAAAATGCATTGAGCCATTGACACCGAAGATTTGTGTTAAGGAGCCGTCAAGAACTCACAGGACAGAGAATCGAATAGCGAGGGAGTTCGGAACCAATTGCTGTCTCACTCTCAGCTAAGCTCAGTTGCAGGTGCTCCTCTTATCTTAATGACTTCACCTACTTGCAAGCATCAATTCACGCTCCAAAGTCATGTCTCGGTAGTCTATTCAACTAGTTTCTATATTAGATACACAGCACATGATGGAAGATTCCTGAATAAAAACTTATGATCATCTTCCGTTCTCTGATTCTTAAAATTGTGGCTATTTTACTTGCTTATTTGCGTATGAAACTGCACATTCTGATGATCTCTTACGTAGGTTTTCAGATACCTTGTAAGATATTTCCAGAAACGAACTGTTACAACCCTGAAAGAAGTGCTAAGTAGAGCCAATTTGCAGCAAATTTAAATGGTATCAAAATGAAAGAGGGGCCGCTAAGTGGATTAATGTGAGAAAAAATGAAGTACAGAGAAGAACTGAAAGGAAAAGGAATTGATTAGGAGACATAGATGGCGTTCATTATGGCGTATAATATTATGTACAAGGCAATCTGAATGAGCAATTCTTGGCAACTAGTCAGTGAAAGTCACAAAACTAGGTTAATGAACTGACTCATTCTGTCTGACACGCTTCTATCATGCATCCTCCTAATCCACCTTATTTACAATGCCACGCACCATCATTCAGTTTTTCCATCACTATTGCGGAGAACATTTTGGGCCTTCAACTTCCAGCATGAGTGGAAGCTCAAGATTAGGACAGCTGAGTTTATAACCCACTTTTTAATCATCTGGAGTGTGCACTTTCCAGCTAAGTCTATGCACCATGATATTATCCCAAGAAGCAGACACATTCCCCATTCTGCGTATGTCAATCTTGAATCACCTGCAATGATATGTGCTATCTCAAGAAATCCGACCTGCAACAACAAAGCGGCAACTATACCCACCCAAAACCATTGACTGCGATGGACACCTCTGAAGATGTTCTTCTTTTCAGGCTCTCGTGCATTGAATATGTTGAATACTTGGCATAGAAAAAAGCTATTGAATATCACAGTCTCAATCACCTTCTTGTTAAGCCTGAGAATTGTAGGCCCTTTAGACTGTATGGTTGCCAAAAGAGACACCTGGTAAGCTATTTGTATGAAAATATTCACCCACATGGCCTTGGTAATGAGTTGTCCATCTTGTTCCAGTGTGAATTTCTTCGTGAGCATCTCACTGGGTGGTTCCATCAGTAGAGCCAAACCACCTAGAAGAGTCAAAACTGATATTGCCCAGTGCAATTGAATCGTTGTTATAGGTGAACTTCCATGAGAGGCATCTGTGATCAAGGGTATCAACAACCCGGCTAAGGTCATAGTTAGCTGAAATTGAAGGTACTTTTGCATACTACTGAATATGCATCTTCCACACTTCATTATGGCCAGGATGGATGTGAATTTTCCTTCCATGATGATAATGTCAGTGCTCTTTCTTGCAATGATAGTGCTCCAAGTAGCAAATGTCAGTCCTACATCGGCAGCTTTTAGCATGGGAATGTCATTTGTTCTGTTTCCGACCACTGCAACCGTGTGTCCTCGATCTTTCAAGCAACTCAGCAGAAGGAGCCTATCAGATGGAAGGGAGCTCCCCATCACAGAAATTCTAGCTGCCATATCCATCCTCTCTTCATCAGACCTATTCCGAAATTCTGCACCTGAGATGACCGGTTCATCTGAATCAGGCTGTATCACTCCAAATGCTGTGGCAATGTTCTGAAGCATCGAAACCTCCTCACTCGATACTAATAGTACTTTAACTCCGGCTTCTCTGCATTCTTTGATCACTTCTGTTGTATCTTTCAAGCTATTCTTCTTTAGCCCCAACAGTCCCAGCATTGTTAGATTGCCTTCATCATACCTGGAGTCATCAACTTGCTTACGAGCAAGCGCAATTGATTCATTATCTTTTGACAGCATTTGGTTAATACGGCCTTCAAAAATTATCTTTTCATTTCTATCCATGGTCCTTATATTGCCTTCAATGTCATAAAAGTGTGAACACATGTCTAGTATTGCTGTTGCAGGTCCCCTGCAGTGCCAGTACCTAGGCCCTTTACCTCCATCCTTTCCGATCACTGCTTCAACTATGTCCTTTTGGGTTGGCCATTTAATGATACTGTGACTTTGCTTCCAGATATCCGTTTTCAATCCCCATTTCTCTGCAGCCCAAGAAAGGATTGAGTTATCCACTGAGGTTCGGCTGTTCTCTGGTAATAAAGATAATATGCCAATCCCATCGCAAAATGCTTCGGATATCTTGAAATCTTCACTGATAACTTCTTCACCAATCCAGCACCTTTCAACTTCATGTGGGGTCAATGTTAGTCCCCCTGTTTCGTCAGTGCAGATAATGGTGACTGATGCCATGGTGACAGTAATGGATGGTTCTTGAGCAAAGATCTTGTCACCGAGCATCCTCTTGTTCCAGCAAGTGATGGCAATAGTGATTGCTAATGCTAGTCCTTCGGCTACTCCAACAAGTAGCAAAGTACATGAAGAAGTCAATGTATTTATCATCCCTTGTGTTGAGAAAACTCTCTTTATAGCTTCATATAATCCCTTCAGAGGATGTGGCTTCCCTGAGAATTCTGGCAGGTCCGACTTATCATATTCCTTCTCGAGCTTGAACTGCAAAAAAAGCACCACAAGTATGATTATTGAGATGACAATACTGGTTATCTGTGTCGAAGTGCTCAGCTTGTTGAGTTGCTTCTCCACTGGTGTCTTTTTCAATGGTGGAGCTCTGCTCAAAATATTGCCCAACTTCGTCTCGGCACCAACCGAGGTCACAAGCATTTTGCCAGTACCATCAGCTACTCTGGAACCATAAAACAAGAATGGATTCTGATCGTTGATGATGGGATCAGCTTTGTCATTCACTTCCAAGGATTCAGTGGGTATGAGCAAACCATCGGCAGGAACTCGGTCTCCCTTCTCTAATAGCACAATGTCTCCCACAAGGACGTCGGATATGCAAATAATTTGACGGTGTCCCCCTCTTAAAACATGAACTTTCTGTTCTCCATTTTGCCGAAGGTCGTTTCTTGAAAGCTGACGTGAACTTTTTCGAAATTCACAAATCGAATGGACTATCACGATCAGAATGACGGCACCTAGTGTAAGAGCCCCTTCATACCAACCCGTTCTCAGTCCTTTCTCCTGGATCCTAAAGGCGAATGACAGAATGGAGAAAATTAGGAGGAGGAAGATGGTGCTACTGTTGCAAGATTTCCTGAGGAAGTGGATGAAGTTACTGTTATGAGCCTCCGACTTGGGTTTAAGGATTGCAGTGCGTCGCCAAGGGAGGTCCTCTTCGTGACCTGGAATTCCATTCACCATATCACTGTTGAGAGCCTCTGCTATCCCTTGGACACCTCCAAAGTGTTGTAAGGTAGTCGAATCCTTTTCCATTACCATCTTAGCGATATTTTCAGTTTGGAGCACCACAACAGTAGCTTCATGATCCTTACCAAAAAAAACAGTAGCTTCATGATTGATGAACCCACGATTGATGCCCAATTCCCTGATTGGCTCTGGTTCCCCAGTATCCAGCAATTCTGTGCTCTGTAACAAATGAATATGCTACCTCAGTTTTAGAAGCTTCTTCCCAATGTTTTGTTGTTAGCTATACTATTTTACAGCTAATACTAGATCTTTAACTGAAATCAGTTGCAGCAGACCTAGACATTATATGTCGGTACTAATGAGTAAGGCCATGAAAGTAACTTTCAAGTCCTTAATCAACCGATTCATGAACCGAGAGACGCATCTTTCAGTGATTTTTTGTCCCCAGTAGCTAAAAGAGATGAAAGATCATTTGGAGACTGACGAACTTATAAGCAAGATCACTTATCAAATGTTTTGGTGGTGAGTTGTTATGAAAGTGTTGTGTGGTCTTGCGATGGAAAAGCGATGATTTGAGACTACTCACTGCAAGTTGTGTATCCATCTCGGTGTTATTTGCCGCCGAAACGAGTTTCTGGTGAGCCTTTTGGACCAAGTAGACCAAATGCCACCATCTCCTCTGGGTATTGCCGGCATTGAGGAGACTCGGTTGCTGCGACTCAACATCTTGATCATCAACCGCACATACCTCAATCGCAGCGTTATTTATTGTCGAAATGAGAAACGAATTTTTCTTCAGGAGGGTCTTCCCAGCATTGACGAGGAGGATCTCTTGCTGAGACCCAACTTCCTGGTCATCCGCAGAGCTCTTCCGTGACATCGCTGAATGGAATTTCACGTTGATCAACTGGAAAAATGAAAACTAGTCACGGTTCCAGGTAATTAGTGAAGAATCATGACTGCGGAATTGCAGCATAGTCTCTCTCTCTCTCTCTCTCCCTCCACTGAACTTTCGAGCAATGACAGGGAGGAAAACTTCACCTGTTTAATGAATCCAAAAGAAGTAGATGCGGATGAACAACACCAGCAAAAGAAGAGAACGTGGAAGTTTGGAGATGAGAATATGAGCAAAGACTTGGTATGCAGCAATGGAGCTCGCTGTGACCCCCTTCTTATACAGAATCTGAAGCCGCGTATCAACTACATTTCCTCTACATGTCCAAACTAACTCCGCGTCGCTCGTCACGACACTGAGACCTGCTTCGTCGTAAGTTCGAGCCAAAGACTTCCTGGACTTGTCTTTCCAACCCTTTTTGTCATCAACAAAGAAACGCAAAAATCCACCTTGCGTGCATCCACGTTTTCCTGAGTCTCACAGTAATTTTCCAAGCAACTACCCGATATTAAGGCTTCATATGACAACCATTCTGTGTCCGAGAACAGATTCTGCTTAGAAATGATTCTTTTTTATTCCGTGCCCGGGAACAATTTCTAAACATTTAAACGCGTTTGTAACTGCCCAAAATTTCTATTCTTAGAATAGAAAAAGAACAGAAATGCGTTTGGTAACTATACAAAATTTCTTTTTATTAATAATATTTTAATAACATTTTGAAATTTTTAATATTTGTTTTTTTTTCCTTTTTTTCTTTTTTTCTTTTTTCTCCTTTCCTTCCTTGGCCATGGCTTGTCGCCGGGGCCAGGGCCGACTAGGGCGTCGCCGCCCTCGCTGCCACCCTCGTCGACGACCTCGCCAGTCGCGACGGCGAGGTCGGCCTCGCCTTGGCTAGGCGAGGCTCAACCCCGCCCAGATCTAGCGAGGCCGACCTCGCCATCGCCAGATCTGGGCGAGGTCGAGCCTCGCCGTCGCAGTCGTGAGCTGCCCTCGCCGGCTCTAGCCTTTGGCCGGTGGCCGGTGGCGGCGGTCGGCTAGCGGCGGCAGGCCGGGAAGAAGAAGAACAACAAACCAAGAAAAAAGAAAAAAAACCAAGAAGAATGAGAAATTGAAAATTTGTTTCATAATCAAGAAGCTACTTTTTTTTGCTTCTTAATTATATTCCAAAACTTATTCTGAGAATAATTTTTTGTAAAATTGTGCCAGGGTACAAAAAATTTAATAAATAGATTTGTGATCCCAAACTAATTTTGGAAATAAAAGAACAAAAATTTTCACTGTTTGGCAACTGCCCTAAGCCATGCCCAACATCAAAGAACAATCATACATTCCCACATGCGCCATCCTCAAAGAAGAACCGGGTGAACACCGAGCCATTCGGACCTTTCTTCTTATGATATTACGGCATGTTTTCCTCGATTGGAAGCTTATTCAACGTATGTGAACGGGGTGATTTGCGTGACATAAATAAAAATTAGCCAAATCGAAAGATCTAGATAAATCGCGACGTTGGAAACAAAAACCGAGTAAAGCTACGCGGTGGAGGCCATGGACTAGCAGTGTCCCTCAATACCTTCTAGGGTTGGTGGGCCCATTGAAAAAGGAAAATTTCATCGCTGACCCGTTTATTCTCATTTGGCCCCTCTTCAAAACCTTGTCTCGACTCTGACTCTATTAGGACATTTCAATATTAAATTGCGCCTTCATCTAACATCTTAAATTTTCAGAGCAGTTAACAGTAAGACGAAGATGTGATAAAATAATTAAATATTCTAATAATCTCAAATTTAATCCAAATCGCCATTTTTACATTTTGGATAGAATGGGCATCATTTTTGTTAAGGCGGTGCTAGCATAACGGCACCGGTAAATAGAATTTCTATACGTGCCCTTGACACCACATAATGGGCATCAAAAGTGTCTTATCCGCTTAGCATGATTAGCATATAATGCAGCCTTAAAGGCCTTGAAATCCAAGCATGCTTCGCAGATGTCTGTACTAGAGGATCCAAACAAAAGTACTCGGTTCAAGTGTCGTTAGAGGTCATTCATTTGGCTCACAAGTACATGTCTATGTAAAGGTTATGTTAAAGCGACATAATCATTCTTATCTTGTACGTGTATTATATATTTGATTTGAGACAAGTGAGTTTTGACGTTATTTTTGGAAATGTGCATAGTGAATGTTCGGTCCCTTAGAAGAAATGCATTACTTACTGGGCTGTGGTTGCTCACATCTCTCTTTCCCAAATTTTTTCAGGTCCTTCAGTTAGTGATCAACAGAGCGAGAGCGATATCGACGGAGATTTTTTGGAATTTGATTCTTTGGTCGTGTCCCTCCCTCGTTCTGTAAGGATTTGGGGCGTGGGAAAAACTATGGGAAAAACTAAGAAGCGCGTTCTAAGCTTAAGGGACATGCCTGACTAAATTTTGTCTGAATCTCCACGCTATCTCGGCATCCTTCCTTCGTCGTCATTTCCGTGTAAAGATTTGCAGCATGTCTTTTCAACCTTCTTCTTACTTTCCCATCGCTGCGGTACTTTTATTTCAATTTTTTTTGGATTTCTAAATGAAGTATGGATGTCTTTCAATTCTTTTCCTGTATTTATAACTTACTTATAACTCTCCCTTCAAAATTTAAAAGTATAACATATGATTGAGTTTCACTGAATTATGAAAAAAATGAGGTAACATGTCAATGTATATATATCATTTGAAAGTCTCAAGCGTTTCGGGTTAAATAGAAGTCATTGCAAATACATCTAATTATGAGTTTGTCATATAAAACTTATGAAAGATTCATGTAGAACAGATGCAATTAACACCATAAGAGTTTATAGGTTGTGAAAATACATATATAGAAAAATACGTATATATACGCACATATACATATACATGTACTTTGTGAAAGAAAATATGCGTGAGAGAGAGTTAGAGACATTTTATAGTGATTCTTAGCGTGTGTTTGTTTATGGGGAAATTTCATAATAAAGAAAAACACTTTGCGGGAAATCATTTTCCAGCAAAATGTTTTCCCATTTTCAGGTTAGGGAATTCGTTTCCTAACTTTAACAATGCATATTTTCTTTGACCATGAATTGTATTCTATTGACCGATCATTTTCAGCAAACCAAGTGCGTGAAAGTTCAGAAAATTAATTCACGGAAAATTTTTATACTCAAACAAACACACCCTTAATAAAAGTCGCACGGCATTCATATGAAGGAATAAGATTTCGATACTTTAGCATAGGTCTAAAGCGTGGAAAAATGCAATTGGAGAGGCAAATAGAGGTATAGAAAATTTAAACTCGGGACATCTTACTCTAACAATGTGTTAGATTTAGTGAGATCAGTGCCAACTATTCTAAAAATTCAAGCCGTTAGATGAATGTGTACTTCAAATATTTTAAATATTCTAGTAAAGAAAAAATTAAGAGGGTGTCCCATGATAGGTCCAAGAGGCAACAGCATATTGTATTCGTGACCGCTCGGGGCTTGCAAAATCGACCTTGCGTGTATGCGCGTTTCGCTCAGTCTCGCGGTGATTTTCCAAGCAACTGCATGACGGTAACCCAATGCTCAACCTCGAGAAATAAACCATATATCATTGCATTCCCACATCGGTCGTCCTCCGAGAAGAACCAGGCGAACGCAAAGCCAATTTTGACCTTTCTTTCACGGAATAATGTGCTTTCCTCTCGCTGGATTGGAGGCTGTAGACGGGTCGAATTTGCGCGTGTTTACGAAAATCGAGAAAAGCTAGATATTGCAGATCGAGGACGAGCACGAGCACGAGGACGAGTAGTCTCCCTCATACTTTCTAATATTGGCTTTATCTCAAAGTTTACTTTTTGGATGGAATAGACATCGTTTTTTTTTTTTTATAACTGAGGTATCCCACGTGCAATGGACTATTCCTCGGGGTGGTGGAGTACAAGACCAATGCCACCGGGTAAGCCCCCAAGATGTGATCGACGGGACTTGAACCTGGACCTCATCAGTTTAACTGTCTGAAGTCAGGAACTCTCGACCACTCGACCAATCACCATTTTTTGTTTTGTTATCACACTCATCAACTCATTGTCGGGCATCTCGCCCGAGCGACGCCCGGTGAGGCTAGCCCTAGCCCAAGCGACGCCTATCCTCACCCTCACCCGGGTGAGGGCCACCATCACTTGTGCAAGGGCTGGCAGTCATGGTCATGGAAAATGGAGGAAAAAAAACAAGAGGAAAAAAAAGAAAGAAAAAATTTAAAAAAAATTTGAAAATTATTAAAATATTATTTTAAAAAATGTCCACATCAGTATCAGCAAACATCCACATCAGTAATATCCGGCCAAAATTAGCATAGAGGACTGAATTGACACTAGATCAAAAGGTTTATAATTAAATTGACACCAATACAATAGATTTAAGACTTTTCTAACACTTTTCCCGGAGGAGAACAAGTGTACTAGCATAAGACTTACATATTCTCATGTTTACACCAAAAAATTACCAATATCGACATATGATAAACTTAGTTGATGAGAGCAGAGTTTGGTCATTTATAAACAGAATTATCGACAACTCGATGGATCGACAGCTTGAAGGAATCAACAAAAAGTGGAGTTGATAATCTCAGATCAACCGTCAAAGGAGTAATAGGCAATGTAGTGGAATAAAGCAATCGTTAAGAGAGTGGAGTTGAAGAAACTGCCACAATAGTGGAGTTAATCGTCAAAGGAGTAACAGGCAATGTAGTAGAATAAAGCAACCGTCAAGATAGTGGAGTCGAAGAAACTATCACGGTAGTCGAGTTAATGTAACCATCAATGTAACCGATTGATTGTAGCATTTGTTTGTTTGTAACCTCCATTGATAACCGTCGATTGTAGGCTTTAAATAGTCACATCGTACTCTTCGGAGGCCCCCCACGCACAAACAAACAAACATGTTATATTTCAATTCATGCACTATAATTATAGTTTCCATACTTGAGTCGTCGATTAAATTTTGGCATGTTTCTTAGCTGTAATTTTTCAAATTCACATTGTTGGTTAAATTTTGGCATGTATCTTTGCTGTATATCATGAGTGCATCGTCGTCGATAAAATTCTATCGTTGCATCTTTAAATTCTTAGATTTTGCCATCGATGATGTTTGGTTCCGTTCAAAGTGATTACGTTGTCGGGTTTTGTTGTCAATTAAATTACGGCACAGTTTGTATACGTTCAGTTCCGCTTCAAGTAAAGTTATCGATTATCTTGTTTACCCGTGATATTTCCTGTCCGGAGTCGCCACAGAACCTGTTTCTTTTTACAAAACCAAATAACGACTTTCGGTGAAAAATGTTTTGTCGCGGAGTCTATTTCCAATCAAACATCGCCGACATGGCGCCATCCGTCATACGTGGCACGACCATC